GAATGGCATGCTGCCGAATGGCGTGCTGCCATGGAAGCGGAGATTGCAGCATTCACCCGCAACCACTCCTTCGACGACGAGACACCACCTCCAGGAGTCAACATCGTCGGGGGCAAGTGGTTGTTCCGTGTAAAACAGCTCCCAGACGAGGCCCCGGTGTTCAAAGCGCGTTACGTAGCCAAGGGCTTCACCCAGCAGCAGTACCGCGACTTTTTCCTAACCTTCTCCCCCACATCCAAACCTCCCACCATTTGTACGCTCATGGATGTCGCAGCTCGAGAAGACTTTGAGATCAAATCCATGGATGCCTCATCCGCCTTCCTACAAGGACGTCTCAAGGAGACGATGTTCATGGACAAACCAGAAGGCTTCCCAGGAGGATTCCCTCCCAACACTGTCTGGAAGCTGAATCGCCCCGTCTACGGCCTTAAGCAAGCCCCTCGCGAATGGCACAACAAGGTAAAAGAAGTCCTCCTCTCCCTGGACTTCCACCCTTCAACTGCTGACCCGACTCTCTTCATCCGCCGTCATTCTGAGCCATTCTACATCCTGGTCTACATGGATGATTGTATCCTCGTTGCCAAGGACTCGGCCCAGATGACCTCTGTCCAGGCAGCCCTGAGCAAGGCTCTCCAGATGAAAGACCTCGGTGACCTCAAGCACTACCTTGGGATGGAGATCACTCGTGATCGCCAGGCTCGCACCATTTCACTCTCCCAGGAGTCCTACATCGACAATGTGCTCAAGCGGTTTGAGATGGAGCTGTGCACACCTGTTGCCACCCCGCTGCCGCTGCAACACCTCCTCGCTGCTCCAGCTGTACCCACACCAGAGGCCTGCTCTGAGCCATACACGGAGCTTGTTGGGTCCCTCATGTACGCCATGATGTGCACCCGACCGGACTTGGCCTATCCTGTCAGTGTCCTCTCTCGCTACGTGGCCCCTGGACGCTTCACTGATCTTCACTGGAAGGCGGCGAAGCGGGTGCTGCGCTATCTTCAGGGCACCAAGTCTCACGTTCTCACACTCGGTGGGCTCTCCCCTCCTCGCCTGGAAGGTTACACCGACTCCTCCTGGGCTGATGACCAGACCGACCGACGCTCCTCTCAGGGGCACTGCTTCACCCTTGGGAGCGGAATTGTCAGTTGGCGCTCCACCAGGTCGTCTGCGGTCTCCATCTCCTCCTGTGAGGCAGAGCTCTACGCAGGCACCATGGCTGCTCAGGAGGCCCGTTGGCTCACCTTCCTACTCCAAGAGCTTGGTTTCCCACAGTCCGCCCCCACCCTCTGGTGTGACAACCGGAGTACCATCCACATCTCTCAAGACCCTGTGTATCACACCCGCACCAAGCATATTGAACTTCGGCACTTCTTCATCCGTGACCTTGTCCAACACGAGCAGCTGAAAGTGGAATACGTTGCATCTGACTGCAACCTGGCTGATCTGTTCACCAAGCCCCTTGGGAAAGTTCCCCACCACCGTCTCCTAGGCGCCATGGGGCTCTGTGCACCACCCTCTCTACCATGAGTTCGATTGATGCCTATGGGGGGGTGTTAGTGTTAGCCTTCAATCTCACACTTTGTACTTTTTATTTTCTATATCCTAGAGTACTGTAGTTTGCACATTGTGTTTGGTTGGGTGTACACCTACATCCCAACCAAACCCAAATGTAATCTCCAAGCAATCTCCAACCCACCAATTGGAGATTGCCTTGGGATTATCCCCAATCCCTGTGGATTGCCCCCGATTCCCTTCCCCATCCATTCCCTCCCCTTCTTGGATGTACTTAAAGAGCTTCAAGCTCATTACTAATGTACCCCTTCTAAGCCTAAGTTCCTGCCAACACCATGCAGGCCCATTCTAGCTGAGATCACAATGTGTAAGCAGCTCACCACAGCAGGCATGCCAGGCCCAGCGCTTTCCGTGACATGGCACAGCGACTGGAGCACATTGGCAGAGGCAGTGCCGGCCAGCAGCATACCTCATACTATTTGAAGAACAAAGGGTAATGGGCTCACCACAGCAGGGATGGCAGCACTGTTGCCAGTCTCAGCCACATGGCACAGCGGCTGGAGCACATTGGCAGACGCAGTTCCTGCCAGCACCATGCAGGCTAGGCGCTTGGCCACCAGAGGGAAGCGGAGCGAGTTGGTCCTGGTAGAGGGGACGGGGCGGGGGGGATGGGGAGACAGGGGGACGGGTTGATTGGGACGATGGGTTGATGGGGGGATGGGGAGACAGGGGGACGGGTTGATTGGGACGATGGGTTGATGGGGGGATGGGGTGAGGATCACAACCAGCCAGCACCATGCAGGCTAGGCGCTTGGCCACCAGAGGGAGGAGGAGTGAGTGGATCCTGGTAGGGGTGATGCAGTGGATTCGGGTTACTATGCAGATGGGGATGTGGTATGGACCTGCAGCAGTCACCTGACCTACAGTCACCTGACCTACAGTCACCTGACCTACAGTCACCTGCAGCAGTCACCTCACCTGCAGTGCTGATGCAGGTCGGACCAATCAGCTGTGCTCTCCACGGCATAGAAGTCATGCTGCCAGGGCGGCGAGGGTGGGGGAGGCAGGAGGAACGCGAGACATGCATGCAGGAGGCGAGGGAAGAGACGGCTGTGCTCTCCACGGCATAGAAGTCACGCTGTCAGGGCGGCGAGGGGAGGGGCGGCATGTGAGACATGCGTGAAGTTCGGGTTAACTCGGATACAGGCAAGCGAACGAGTGAAGAGACAGCTGTGCTCTCCACGGCATAGAAGTCATGCTGCCAGGGCAGTGAGGGTGGGCCTCAAAAAAGACATATGTGAACAGTTGAATGAAAAAAAAAACGTGAAGATATGGACAAGACTGTGCTTCACTAACTCTCGGAAACACCGCAACTAGGTGTTGGCACTAGGTGCTTTCACCAGGTGACATTGACGGCGCTCGCTTGCGTGTGTGTGGTCCGCACAGTGTGGGTACACTTACCCATGCCACATCAGCACACGCTTTACTGCAGAACAGCCGCTCGTTATAGTCACCTTGCTCATCCCCCCTCCCCCCTCCATCGCTATGTGTGTGGTGCTCTTGCTTTGCTGCCAGCGGCCCAAGACACAAGTAGCACACCTGGTAAGAGCGTGGTGCGGGTGTGGTGGGAGTGTGGTGGGAGTGTGGTAGAAAGTGCCAATATAATGTGGAAATGAGAAGGGGGAGAGTTACAAAGGGACGATGAGACGTGAAGCCTCGAAAGGGAGGCGAAAATACTAAGAAATATGCCAAGTATGCCCATACAGTTGTGATGGCCGCCTGTAGAGAGGGTGTTTTTGAGACGTCTCAAAAACACCCTCTCTACAAATACCAAGAAATATGCCCAAGGTTGCCCATAAAGTTGTGATGGCCGGCATGTCCAAGCTTGCGCAAATTCCCAACGTGTTTCAACGGGTGGGGTGTGACACAACAGTGGTAACTGTCTGCAGCACTAACCGTAGAAACGCCTCACAACAACTAACTCACCCACCTTGCCAACGTGTTCCAATGTGGGGTGTGACACAACAGGAGCAGTTGCCAGCACCACCTCCCCCTCCGCTATTTGCCTCGTTGCCACCACCGCCCTGCCTGCCTCCCCTGCTTCACACACCCGGACCGGTTACAAAGAACTTGGCAAAGCTTGCCCACCTTCCCAACGTGTTGCAGTGCGGGGTGTGACACAACAGGAGCAGTTGCCAGCACCACTTCCCCCTCTGCTATTTGCCTCGTCGCCACCACCGCTCTGCCTGCCTCCCCTGCTTCACACACCTGAAAGGGGTGCTCTGAGCAAGGATGGAGGGGAGTGAGTGGAGGGTTGGGAGTGAAAAACTGAAGCATCCGCAGATGTTACCTTGCTGTTGCCCTGTTGCTCCTTGCCTTAGCAGGGGGAGGTGTTAACTGAGCAAGGCTGAAGCATCTTCTCCTTCTCACAGCGGGGGGAGGTTTAACCTGAGCACAGCAAGGGGAGGTGTTACCTGAGAAGCACAGCAGGGGGAGGTGTTACCTGAGCACAGAAGGTCAAAGTATTGCTGAGGGGTGCACGGAACCGTCACATTCCGACCGCTACTGTTCCCCCCACTGCTTCCGCCATCCCCGCTGTGAATAGCCCGCCAATCCGTCCGTAACTTAGACGAGCGATACTCTATCGCGGATAAGTGCTTCGCGCGTGTCCGCGATTGCGAGTGACAGAAGCGAGAGTGAAGATTCCGGGCGAGACCGTCGCGGATCGGCGAATCTGCACCGCACGCCGGCAGCAACGGTGTGTCCCCGCTACAAGCCTCCTCCGAAGTTCTCCTATGGGGTGGCGAAAGGATGACTTGATAAGTACAAATTAACTCGGGAGAACGGAACCAGCCGAGATGAGCAATGCTCCTCGTGAGAGAGTTAATCGACTGACGCCGCGCGGTCCCGCGACGGACCGCGAAGGCGACAGTCATGACAAGGCAAGCCAAGGATCAGGTTCCGTAATGTGGGCTAAGAGTAATATCCAGGATGATTTGACTATGGTATGGTTCGTTACAAGCTTTACAACCAATCACACCCGTGCCTCCAGATGCCGTGAATGTCTTAGTGATGTGATGACCTGATGACACGCCATCAGCATGCGTTGTTGACGAGGTTTTGTGCTTGTGTCAGACCGACCACGGATTCAAATTAGGCGGGACGCCACTTTCATCCTCCTTTTGGAGTCTAACACGGTTTCATTTCAGCTTAATAGGGTGAAGACAATCCGTAGCGCAACAATTTAGGATCATATCCTCTTGTTGGATGTAGCATATTACCAGATTGCAGATTCACTCCAGCCGTTTATCACATATTATTCCAAAAGGCTCTCCGATTTGTTGCCTTCTCTGTCACAGGCTTTTTCTTGCCACACCATCTTGATTCATGGTGGGTGTGCGTGGCCAAAGAAATGCTTAGACTTTACTGAAAGAAACTGTGCATACAACGCTGAACAGACGAATAAAACAGGTAAATGCTCCCTGCACCTACTCCAGCTCGGCAATGATCTTATTCCGGCGCTCGCCCTTCTTCTTATTGTCCTTCTTCTCCAGGCCCTTGCTCTTCTTCTTGAACCGCTGCCGGTTCTCCTCCTTGCGCTTCTCTGCCGCCACCATCGTGGCCCGCAGCTTGATGGCGTTGTGAATTGGCCGTGGCACGTGCCGGTGCCTGGGGGAGGGAACAAACAATTCGGGAGGTGAGGGGTGAGAGGTGAGAGGGAAGATGGGAGCGGTGAGAGGTAGGTGGGAGGTGAGATAGCACACAGCTTGATGTCGCGGCATATGCCGGCGCCTGGGAGAGAAGGAACATAGAAGGTGAGAGGAGAGAGGACAGAATGGGGAGGTGAGAGGTGGGAGAAGAGAGGACATACGAAAATGGGAAGTTGAACAGGCACTGAGCACACAACTATGGTCCACCACCTTTCTCCCATTTCCCACCAACCTTGCCCGCTTCCTCTTCCTCCTCCCCACTTTCCCCTTCCTACCCCACTTTCCCTCCCTTCCCTTCCTCCTTTCCCTTCCCCCCTTCTTCTGACCCCTTCCCCCCGCCCCCCTTCCCTTTCCCCCACGCACTTGTGGATGCGGCGAATCTCAGGCAGGTGTTGGTGCCTCTCCACCAGCGCTGCATTGTACTCTGCCTTGCGCTTCTCCCGCTTCACCTGCCAGTCCGAGGAGCACACAGGGGGGCAAGGGAGTGGTGAAACGGAGGAGCAGTGAGAGGGCGTGTAAGTTGTTGCCCCTCCACCAGTGCTACGTTGTACTCCGCACCGAAGCGCTTCTCCAGCAATTCGGTGCAGCACAAGTGAGTGATAAGTCGAGTTTTGAGTCGACTCAAAGCTTCTCCTGCTTCACCTGCAATTCGGTGCGGCACATGCACAGCGGCTAAGGGATGGTGGGATGAAGCCGCATGGAAAGGGTGTGTAGGTGCCTCTCCACCAGCGCTGCATTGTACTTCACCTTGCTCTTCTCCCGCTTCACCTGCTGGGCACGCAACACTGGTCAAGGGCAAGGTGATGGTGGAATGGAGGGCAGTGAGACAGGGGCAAGGGGAGAGAGGACGTGTTGGTTGGTGCCTCTCCACCAGTGCTGCGTTGTACTCCGCCTTGCGCTTCTCCCGCTTCACCTGTCAGGCCGCGGTACGCAGCAAGCGGCAGTGGGATGGGGGAACAAGAGGAGGAGTGAGGCAACGCAACAGTGTGACCGGGGCAGAAGAAGAGAGGGGGTGTTGGCGCCTACCATGCCTATCATGCCTATCTACCGCGCCCACCACTCAAGGCATCTCACCTGCACGCCCAGCTGCTGTGAGGCCTGTGCTTTCCAGAGGCGGATGTTGGCATCGTCACTGCCTGACAGCACGTACGAGCCGTCGCCACTGAACCCATGGCAGCTCACCTGCACACCCATCTCATCTGCGCAAGACTATCATGCCGCAGAGCTCACTCACCTGCACACCCATCTCATCTGCGCAAGACTATCATGCCGCAGAGCTCACTCACCTGCACACCCATCTCATCTGCGCAAGACTATCATGCCGCAGAGCTCACTCAACTGCACACCCATCTCATCTGCGCAAGACTATCATGCCGCAGAGCTCACTCACCTGCACACCCATCTCATCTGCGCAAGACTATCATGCCGCAGAGCTCACTCACCTGCACACCCATCTCATCTGCGCAAGACTATCATGCCGCAGAGCTCACTCACCTGCACACCCATCTCATCTGCGCAAGACTATCATGCCGCAGAGCTCACTCACCTGCACACCCATCTCATCTGCGCAAGACTATCATGCCGCAGAGCTCACTCACCTGCACACCGAGCTGCTGCGAGGCCTGTGCTTTCCAGAGGCGGATGTTGGCATCGTCACTGCCTGACAGTACGTATGAGCCGTCGCCGCTGAACCGCACACAAAACACCCTGAGACGCACAGAGAAGCGAAAAGGAAGGGAGAGGAAAGAGACTGAAGGTTGTCATTTCCTGACAGCACGTGAGAGCCATCCATCACCGGTGAAGCGCACACAGAACACGCTGCCAACGTGTGCCATGGTAACGAGGTGACTATTGAGTCGACTCGAAAGACTATTGAGTCGACTCGAAAGACTATTGAGTCGACTCAAAAGTCAGCTCCTGACAGCTCGTAGGAGCCATCCATAACCGGTGAAGCACACACAGAACACGCTGCCAACGAGAAAGGGAGAGAGAGTGCGAGGAGGGGCAGAACGACAGCCTCCGGGCTAGGAGGGTGAAGGGAAGGGAGGAAAAGGAGAAGAGGGTTGTCAGTGCCTTGCAGGGCAATAGAAAGAAAAGGCAAAGAAAAAGAGAAGACGGTTGTCAAGGCAAACGCCAGCATATGCAATTGAAAAGCACAGCGGCAGGCGGGGGTGATTACCGTTGCATGCGCTTGGTGTGGTAGACCTCTCGGCTCTTGATGCCATCATACGGGAATATCCGCACCTGGAAGAGGGGCGGAGGGGATGTTGAAATCAGGGAGAGGCGGCGAGAGGCTTGCAACAGCAAGACAAGCATATACATGCGCTTGGAGCAGGATACCTCTCAGTAATTTTTTTTTTTGGAGAACTTCTCAGAACAGACCAGAAAAAGGCATAAAAGGAGGTGGGCATGGAGGGAGGGAGAGAGGGAGGAGGGAGTGGGGGAGAGACTGAGGGAGGGAGCAGGGGAGAGAATGTGGTAGGGAGGAAGTGGGGGGCTATGGCATGTCAGCACACTCACCGTTCTATCATAAGACCCTGTCACGAACTCCCTTCCTGTTGGCGAGTAGTCAATGTCCATGCTGGTGGTGGGGGAGCAGGGGAAGGGGGTGGGGTGTGGGGTCTACTTTTAGGTGCTCCATATATACGACCCTGTCACGAATTCCCTTCCTGTTGGCGGGTAGTCAAAGTCCATGCTGGTGTGGTTGCAAGGGATAGCGTGGGGTGTGGATGGGTAGTGGAGGAGAAGGGAAGTCACATGGGGGAATGGGGATGAGAAAGGAAGGAGCAGCGAGGAGAGGGGGGTGATCGTGAGAGAGAGATTCAGTGGGTCGGGTTGGGTTGGGGGGACACAGCCGATCACACAGCGCAGTCACTCACACGGCGGCGGAGACGTGGCCTTTGTGTACGAGGGAAGCGGTGCTGAGGGGTTACAGCCTTGACGCCTCAAGAGCTCTTCTCACACACACACTCGTGCCCCCACTCATGCTAGCAAGCACTCACACAGCAGAGACATGGCCCTTGTGCACGAGGGAGGCGGTGCTGAGGACACAACTGGATGCACACTGCCCCATGCCCCATGCCCCATGCCCCATGCCCCATGGCATTCACACGCACACGGTGCAGCCACTCACACGGCGGAGACGTGGTCTTTGTGTACGAGTGAAGCAGTGCTGAGGTTACAGCTATGCTGCCTCAACAGCTCGTCTCATCTCACACTCGTGTCCCCAACACATGCCACTCACACGGCGGAGACGTGGTCTTTGTGTACGAGTGAAGCAGTGGTGAGGTTGCGCATGTCATATGAGTAGCAGCTGCCGTTCTCATTCCCCTGCCGGGGTTGGGGTGTGCCGCGGGCAGAGGCAGTGGGGGACAGCGGGAGGAGCATGCGTGTGAGTGAGCGAAATGGGTGTGTGAGGTTGCGAAATTGAGTATGCGAGGTTACTGAGGTTGCGCATGCCACATGGGTAGCACGTGCCAGGGGCGGGCCGTGGGCTGGGCGGTGGGGTGGGCAGCAGATAGATTGATAGGCAGAAAAGGCAGGCGAGAGTGGGTGTTTGAGGGCATACAAGGGTGATAGGTTACGCATGTCGTATGGGCAGCAGTTGCCGTTCTCACTCACTACAGTACACCAGCTATATTCGAGTGACTTTTGAGAATTCTCAAAAGTACACCACTGCGCAGCATACATCACCACCCACCACCATACATCATCCCTACCCTCCAACACTCAACACTCACCGCAGTGAAGTTGAGAGGCTCCCGCGGATTCCACGCCAGCGAGTTGGTCTTGGTCTACGGAACGAGGGAGGGGAATAGGGAGGAGGGAAATGGAGAGCAGAACATCAGTGTGGCACGCTTGTATGGTGGGAGGGGGAGGTGAATGATGGGGGGAGGCGAGGAGGGATAAGGGAAGGGAGAAGACAGCTTTTCACGTGACTGAAAACTGGTCAACTGGTAGACTTCGTAGACAAACAACAAGGAACATCGAAAGACATTGAAATTGAAGAGCCGGGAGGACATCGAAAAAACGCGAGGACTTTGCATCGCAAGGTGGAATGCGAGGATGCCGCTGGAAAGAGAGGGGAGCATCACCGGGAGCATCACCAGGAGCATCACCGGGAGCATCATCGCCCCCCAATACTCGTCCAACAGACTTCCCTAACAGTAAGCTCTCTTCCCCTCTCTTCCCCCTCTCCTCCCCTCTAATCCCCCTGGGCTTGCTTCACCTGCATGATCACTTTTCTCAACGGTGTGGACATGCGGAGGTCGTACAGGCAAATGCTGCGATCACTGGTGGATCACAAAGGGCAGCCCACAGGGAACAACGGCAGGATAATGAAAGAAAGATAGGAAGACAGTAAGTTGGTAAGTAAGTAACTAAGAAAGAAAGAAAGAAAGAAAGACGAGAAAGGTAGAGTGGAAGTCCGCAGGGTCCAATGGAGAAGCGTTGCAACAAGGTGTTGCAACAAGGTGTCGCAGGGTTATTTTTCCTTAATTGAATACAAGTAGTTTTAGAATTCTCAGAAAAGCTCCACAAGGCGAAACACTATGGACAGGCAGGGCAGACAGGATGAACGATGAAAGGAATATGCTTATCTGTATTTCTCCTGACCTGCCATGAGACGATTTTTGAGTCAACTCAAAAATCGTCTCATCTCGACAGGATGAACGATGAAAGGAATATGCTCATCTGTATTTCTCCTGACCTGCCATGAGACGATTTTTGAGTCAACTCAAAAATCGTCTCATGTCGACAGGATGAACGATGAAAGGAATATGCTCATCTGTATTTTTCCTGACCTGCCATGAGACGATTTTTGAGTCAACTCAAAAATCGTCTCATGTCGACAGGATGAACGATGAAAGGAATATGCTCATCTGTATTTTTCCTGACCTGCCATGAGACGATTTTTGAGTCAACTCAAAAATCGTCTCATGTCGACAGGATGAACGATGAAAGGAATATGCTCATCTGTATTTCTCCTGACCTGCCATGCCCCCTCTCCTTGCGAGTGATTTTTGCGAATTCTCAAAAACCTCTCCTCACCCCCCACCTCAGCCTCATCCCCCACCTCAGCCTCACCCCCCACCTCACCCCCCACCTCATCCCCCACCTCAGCCTCACCCCCAAACCCTGCCACCGCCCCCTCCCTCCCCTCACCTGCCGGTAGTAGCGAAAACATCAGGCTCGGCGGGGTTGAAGCGAAGAGAGTAGAGAGAGTCCGCGCCCCATGTGAATGTAGATATGGGGTCCGAGCGACTGTGCTCCCACACGTCCACCTGCGCGCCTGCTGTGGCAAAAACTCGCCCCTTCCACTTATGGTCCACTGCTCTGCACGCCAGGAATAGAATGTGCAACAACAGAGGTGAAAATGTGAAATGCGTGAACTGTGAACTAACACTTGTCGGATGGCACAACTGTGAACTAACACTTGTCGGATGGCACAACTGTGAACTAACACTTGTCGGATGGCACAACTGTGAACTAACACTTGTCGGATGGCACAACTGTGAACTAACACTTGTCGGATGGCACAACTGTGAACTAACACTTGTCGGATGGCACAACTGTGAACTAACACTTGTCGGATGGCACAACTGTGAACTAACACTTGTCGGATGGCACAACTGTGAACTAACACTTGTCGGATGGCACAACTGTGAACTAACACTTGTCGGATGGCACAACTGTGAACTAACACTTGTCGGATGGCACAACTGTGAACTAACACTTGTCGGATGGCACACACGTGCACACGTCCACCTGTGCTCCTGCTGTGGCAGACACCAGGCCCTTCCACTTGTGGTCCACTGCTCACCTGAAGATTCACCTGAAGATTCACCTGAAGGCTCACCTGAAGGCGTTTTTCCCTTGGAAGGTGGCAACAGCCTCATGCTCCACGTCCCCCCCTGCCACCCCCAACTCCATGATCTCCGGCGCTGGTAGCTGCCATAGGCGCACGCTGTGTGTGGGAGATGGGGGAGGGGAGGGGGGGTGAAGTGGAGATATGGGGGTAATGGGGAGTGGAACATAGAGGGGTGATCGTCTCTACTTTTCTGAGTCCCCCCCTGCCACCCCCAACTCCCCCCTGCCACCCCCAACTCCTTGATCTCCGGCGCTGGTAGCTGCCACAGCCGCACGCTGTGTGTGGGAGATGGGGGAGAAGGATGGGGAGAGGTGGGGAAGATGAGGGGGGAAAGGATAGGCGACGGCTAGCGCAACACGGCAGTAGATGGCGCCCCGAGGTGACTTTTGAGTGGACTCCTTGATCTCCGCACTGGTAGCTGCCACAGCCGCACGCTGTGTGTTGGTTAAGGGAGGAGGAGGGCAAGCGGAGGCATACAGCACATGCACTGCGCCCATGCACTGCGCCCATGCACTGCGCCCATGCACTGCGCCCATGCACTATCCTCTTTCAGGGAGTTTTTGAGAATTCACAAAAACTCCCTGCAACGTTAAGGGAGAAGGAGGGCAAGCAGAGGCATACAGCACATGCACTGCGCCCATGCACTGCGCCCATGCACTGCCCTTTCTCCCAGTCACACTCACGTGCAGTCATCGCCGCATGACAGCATTGTCTTCCCATCTGCTGATATGGCCACGCCCCTCACCGCCCTGCTGTGCCCCACAAACCGGCACAGCGTGCGCCTGGTGAAAGGAGAAATGAAGAATCACACAGACGCAGATGGAAGGGGAAGGTGCTTTGGGTTTGGATGGGACGATAGTTACGACTTTGGGTTTGAATGGGACAATATAGGCGCACGACGCGCGCGCGCCGCGCACTACCATACTTTGGTGCACCGGACAATCTTAATGGCGCTACAAGCATCATCTTATGTCGGGTGTACGTAACAAAACTCACTTGTAAGGGACGTCCCATAGGCGTACATCTGAGAAAAGAGAGGGATATGTGGGATGGAAGAACAGCAAGGGAGAGAGGGGAAAGAACGGTTGGTGGGGGAAGCGAGAGCAAGAAACGGAGGGAGACGAGGATTGATGATAGAAGCTAACAGGAAGGCGTTTGCGAGGCTTCAGAAAAAAACATAAAGAAAGAGGAGAAGCAGGATCTAGGGTTCAAGGCAAGCCTACAACAGGAAAAAGTGCGGCACGAGCTCTCAAATCGCGGATGTAGGCCGTGAACAGCAAAGGGTTCGAATGTTTTTTGAGAATTCTCAAAAAACACGTGTAGGCCGTGAACGGCGAAGGGTTCGAATGTTTTTTGAGAATTCTCAAAAAACTCGTGTAGGCCGTGAACAGCGAAGGTTTCGAATGTTTTTTTAGAATTCTCAAAAAACACGTGTAGGCCGTGAACAGCGAAGGGTTCGAATGTTTTTTGAGAATTCTCAAAAAACACGTGTAGGCCGTGAACAGCGAAGGGTTCGAATGTTTTTTGAGAATTCTCAAAAAACACGTGTAGGCCGTGAACAGCGAAGGGTTCGAATGCCCAGCCATGAACCCTGAACCCTTCGCTGCATCGACTCAATTAAGCTGTGGTAGCTACTAAGCCATCGCAGCTGTTAGCTGCTCCGCATCGCAGGGGCTTCCTCAACGGTCGTGAAAAGTAGGCTTCATGGTTATTGCTCAGGTTCCAGGATGAAAAGTGCTTTGAGACGTCTCAAAACACTCCTTCTTTAAAGTAGGCTTCATGGTTATTGCTCAGGTTCCAGGATGAAAAATTCAAGGTTCACACGTCAAGGATCAGGGTTCAGGGTTCAGGGTCTGGTTCACCGCACCCCCATCCATGGAGGCGGAAACGACGCAGTTGAGTCTGACGGGGCTTCTCGCCATGGCGGAGACGCCGTCCGCGTGGCTGCCTAGCGCGCCCATGAACGGCTTGGCGAACACCTTATCGAGCTTCACTGCGTTGAGCGCTCGCTGATACTCCTTCGCTTTCTCAAGTGGGTGGAGAGCTGGGTCGAGATTCCGGTGTACTTTCTGGGAGCGGGGAGTGGGGGTGGAGGTGGTGTAGGGTGAGGCAAGGGGGCGGGATTGAGGTGAGGCTTGGCGAACACCTTATCGAGCTTCACGGCGTTGAGCGTTCGCTGTACTCCTTCGCCTGCTGAGTTCGAAGGGGGTGTAGCGTTCGGTCGAGATTCCGGTGTGTACTTTCTGAGAACGAGGAAAATAGTGTGAGGTGAGAGAAAAGTTCGTGAAATCGGCGGAGACTCGCTGAGGATCATGGTGGCGTTAAGTACGCGCAATCATTCGTCGGCCTTATAGCGCGGACGTCACGTGGGTATGGATTGCGACGCGCGCTTTTGAGACGTCTCAAACCTCGTTGGCAGCCTTCGGCCTTCACGCCAGGACCGAGCAGTTAGAGAGGGGACTATTCTGGCAAATTGGTCCGTTAAGATTTCTGGTATCTTATCGACGATTACGGATGTTCTCCGTGTTTATGCGCTCGCCTTGACCATGTCCGTTGCTCCCTGCGAGCCTGAGCTTGCTCACTGACAACATTTAAACGGAACCTGTTGAATGGAGACTCACTGTCACATCTTGCTTTCGCTCGCGCGTGAACTGCTCTTCCGATCGCGAAAGCACCTTAATCTTCATTGTCAGGGCAGATATTAGCCAGGGAGAGGAGGGTAGCTACAGGTTAGGAGTCAACTAAGTTCTCCGCAGAAAAACAGTCTATTCCCCGAAACCCGGAAGCCTTACGACAGAATCTTTGCGAGACTCTAATTTCTTATATTCTTTCGCTAACATCTGGGCGCCAAAAATCCTGCACGTGAGAAACTACCCAGCTAGCTTCGCGCCTAGATGTTTTCGACCGTTGCGGAGCATAGCATACTTTTAGGCATTGTGGGGAGGTTCTGGAGTTTCTCAGGTTTCGGGTTTCATTCGGTTGAGTGGAGTACGCTTTTGTGAGCTCGCAAAAGGAACACGCATTATAGGTTTAGTTCTCCATGGGTTGAAACTTAAACTACGGAGTAGGGAAAATAGTTTGGTGTTTGCAGTAACCGCATATACAGCCCAGGTGAGATTCAACAATGCATTTTTTAGAGACCACAGAAATATAGCATCAGAGGCTCGGCCTAAAAGCTTGCGAGCGATATGATGACCCCCGTCTCGAAGTACTAATAACCTAGTCAGCATGCGAGAGTAGTAGCCTTGTTAGCATTGCCTGCTCTTCCACCCGTGGGCCCTTGGTTTAAAACCAACTTTTCTCACCAGGAAATGTTTTACCATCAGGCCCATCACCACGAGCAGCACCATCAGGGCCATCACACGTGAAGTCATAATCTGTTTATAATCATTTGGAGACTACAGCACGAACACATCATCATTTCAGCTTGTGAGCTGTGCCTAATAGGTGCGAGAGACACCATCTACCCATCAGATACTACTAAAAAACTATGTTAGAGTCACGTCAAACAATCTTGACTCGGAACAAAATGCACCGGCGATGCAAAGGGAAGTAGAAGCGGCTGTTAGCCTCAGAGTCATGGTGCTGTTCTGGCACCCCTGCACCCTTGTCTGCAACCTTGTCGCTCTTGCCATCACTGCTCTTGCCACTGCTGCTTCCTCCGTTGGATTCTTCGCGAGGAAGCTTGCTTTCCTTACCCGCGGCAGCAGCAGGGCCAGCACCAGCACCAGCAGTACCACCAGCACCACCAGCGGTACCACCAGCAGCACCCTTCGCACTGCCGCTCCCTGCGCCCTTGTCACTCACCCCCTCCACAGCACCGCTGGTCGGCTGATTCAACCAGTTGCGCTTCTCCTCCGATTCCACTCTCCCTGCGTCTCCCCCCTCCCCAGAAACAGCAGGAGCAGAATCCTTAGCGCCAGCGGCAGCAGGGGAGGAGTCACTATCCTCTGGCATCACAATAGTCGCCACGAGGGGGAGGGCCGGGCGCCCTGCCTCAGGGATTGCCGCGACTCCAGCATTCAGCATCATCTCCTGCCACTGCGTCGCCGCGCCCTTCGCGCTCGCGCCTTCCGCCTCCGCCAGGCGCCTGGCGGAAGCCGCCTCCCGCTCAGGCCACTCGAACAGCTTCTTGCGATCAATCCCGTTCTTTGCTTCCTTTGCCGCCGCTGCCGCTGCTGCGGATGGGAATGGCGGCGAGGCTGACGGGGGTTCTGCATCGTGCATGAAAGACGATGGGTCTGTTAATAACGAGGACGCCTCGAGCAGAGCCATCTGCGCCTCGGCGCCGGGAACCTCGCGGTTCTCCGACGTGGCGGATCCATCCTCGGTAATATTAAGCTCGATATTGACCCCGAACAGGTTCACTGTGGCTTCGTCGATTTGCACGCTGACGGTAACGCCGTCGGGACTTTTAGCCGCCGCCAGCCAGATGTCGTCGTCGTCCCAGTCTGCCACGTCAGCGCCGTTGTACATCAGTTCTCCGTTCCCGCGCAGCTGAAACAGCCTTTCTGGCAGGATCAGCTGGTCCTGCAGAAGCTTCTTCGAAACGTCCGTGGTCTTCCCCTGCCACGTGTCTGTCGCCGTGACTGGCGCCGGATTCTCCGCTGGCTCGCCCAGACACACGGCGCGGGAGTAGTTCCCCTCAACGCGCGAAACATCCACGAAAGCTCCGCCAGCCATGGCGACGATGGGAGACGGTCCGATGGGAATCGGCCGGCCAGCGAAAAAGGAATCGGCGGACAGACGGATGACCGGTATCTCGTCCGTCAGGCCGTCAAAGAAGAAGTCGCACATGGCGGGGCGCGCGGGGCATGCGATGGGTAGCGGCGACAGGCGGCTCCGGCCACGATCGGCGGATTCGCCCCCGTTGGGGGAAGGGTGCGGGCACGGGGAGGCGAGCGAGGGAGGCGCCAAATCAGAATCGAAGTCGCTGTTACCGGAGCAGCCGCCGCCGCTGCCGCGGCCGCCTTTCTCGTGGTCATTGCTGTTCTCAACGGAGGTCTCTTGCGTGTTGTCTTTGTCTTTCTTGGCTTGGAGTTCGGAGGTGACCGTGTTGGGCGGTGACCGTTGGACGTTCGACGCCGCGCTCTCCTGCTTCGCAACGGCCTGCTTCTGGGTGACGGTTAGGTTTTCGCCGCTGATTGCCACGTTGGCGCCGGGGTTCTGCTTGGAAACTGCGGGTGACTTGGCCGACGCTAATCCAATCGCTGTGATCAGCCGGCGAATCGCAGGGCGCCACGTCGTCACTCCGAGCTTCGGGGAACCCGATGTCACGGTGGCCGTCAATTCAAGAGGAAGCGCGGCGCGAATGGCTTGCAGGCCCCGCATGAGGCGACGGGGTTTGCGGAGTGCGTTTGTCGGGGCTGCGACAATCGCGACAAGGAGGAGAAGCAGCGGTAGGTACTCCAATCGGGAAAACGAAGCTGACCTGGCGGGTTTCGTCCGTAAGCCCATCGTACTGACCTAGAGGAAGATACACACAAGTGCGGCCTTACTGGAAGCTATCAGTGAAGTTCGGAGCTCTTATTAGCAGCACCGTGCTGCAAAAGGTGTGAAATTCGGAGGAGTTGGAGGTAGCCGGGTGGGAGCAGTTCCTATGGAGACTAGCCAACGGAATGTTAGCGCTAAAGCCAGGCGAGGACTTACTGGAGTATATTTAGTGCTCGGCTTTATTCCTCCAGAATACACAACGGGAAAGTCGTGGCACAGGCTGGAAAGCTGCGACCTGCTTTGGACGGTCGTGTGTATATGGCGAAAACAAATCAGCGCAACGGGCTGAACACGCAGTCAAAATCAGGTGGTATTCCGCGATAGTATTCTGGTTTTGGCTGGTTTCGGTAAGGTCAGGCTGGGCTGAGTCTGGTTGAGCTGGGCTGAGGTCAATGTAAAATCGCGCAATTCTACTGAAAAAGGAGCAGACAGGAATTGTCGATTCGAGCGAGTCGGGACTCAGGAATTCAAATTGACCGCGCGGCTCCAATGGGTGGCGTGTGTGGTGTCAGACAGGTGAAATTTTCAATTTCGAATCGAATACAGTAGGAGTCGACGCTAAAGGGTACCCTGAACTTTGGTGGAGCGGCTACAGCCATTGGTGAACAACATAGGTGGTTGGTGGAAGGAAATCCTCCTTATGAATGGAAACACTGTATTACACCTCACCACAGCTGAAAATGCGTATGGTATTCGCCTGCATGGAATAAACTGAAGCTAGAAGGCAGATTTCCGTAGTGATTTCCATAACAAATTTGAGTGCAGCCATAGCGGAGACACTCCCCACACTCCTCGAAGAAGTGATGGGTCCATTGCATCGAAGTGGTGGCGCTGCAGGTTGTGAAGGAAAAGATTTGCACCCACCTGCAAAACACCACCAAAAGACTCAGTCAAATTCCCAATATGATATAGATCCAAGAAGAACATGAGTCATTGGTGGCAGAACTTACAGCTGATGGCAAGAGTAATTGTCGAGCTATAGGAGGCAAGGAGGACTGCAAGGCTTTGGCCTTTTGCAGATGTGCTTGCGCCACACATGCCACATCGTACACGCACTCCCTGAAGCTGGGCGGCTGCCGCCCTCGAAACAGCTCCTCATGCACGAGTCCATGCTGATGGTAAGAGTGTTGGATTAAAAGAAGAGGTGAGTCGAGCTTCCCGGCCACCCAAAACTCTAAAACAACTCCTCATGCACCAGCCGATGCTGGTGGTAGAAGTGGTACGAGATCAGGAAGGGAGGTAGGAGGGTGGGAAGGGTGGGGAACAACAAGGTGGAAGGGAATGAGAGGGAAGGCAACAGCTTGAAAAGCGGAAAGGGGTTGTGACAAGGTGAAGCATGAGCCCATGCTGGTGGTTGAAGCATGAGCCCATGCTGGTGGGTGAAGCATGAGCCCATGCTGGTGGTTGAAGCAATAAATTCGGAGAAGCAGCGGGTTTGGGATACGACGGGGTGAAAGGTAATGAATACCATCTGCTTGCAAAGGGATATCAGTAATCAAACGGTTTACGACCCATACAAGCACTGTACCTTCGCAGCAACATCTACAGGAATGTGCGAGCGCCTCTGTGCTGCATGGTATGATGCGCTTTTTGGGGCGGAAGAGCCATGCGCCCCGCCTTGTCTTAGTAGAACGCACCTTTGCAGCGACATCTAGCGGAATGTGCGATCGCCTCTGTGCTGCGTGGTACGATGCGCCGCGCAGCAGAAGAGCCATGCCCTCCGCCTTGCCTGGGAGGAGGTAGTGAGAAGCATCAAGGCAGGCCTCAACAGGACTGAGGAACATCAATGTGGTTACCGATGTGGCTGCCAATGTGGTTACCAATGTGGTTACCAATGTGGTTACCATTGTGGCTACCAATGTGGTTACCATTGCAGTTACCAATGATGTAACCAGTGTGGGAGGCAGCATGGTCAACATGCGTGCTATGGATGCCTGAAGCCCGCAGCCTGCGCAATACAAGTGCTGATACTGATGTGGTCACTAGTGTGGTTACCAAATGCAGATGCCAATGGTTACCAAAGAAGTTACCAACGTGATTACCAATGTGGGAAGCAGCGTGGTCAGCATGCACGCTGTTGATGCCAGCAGCCTGCAGAATACAAGTGCCGTTACCGATGTGGTTACCAATGCAGTTACCAATGCAGTTACCAATGTGGGGAGTAGCAAAGTGGGCTTACCAACGTGGGAGGCAGCATGATCGGCATGCACGCTGTTGATGCCAGCAGCCTGCAGGGAGAGGTAGAGCAGCGCCGAGGACGTTGAATCCGCGTACCTGCACTCGTGGGCATGCCATATTTGGCATGGACGGGGAAGAGAACACATTCGTGAGGCACCATACTTTCAAGCCAGCAGCCTGCAGGGAGAGGTAGAGCAGCGCCGAGGACGTTGACTCCGCGTACCTGCTCTTTCATGCATGCACGCATGATATGTGTGCACACAAACATGTTGTGTGAGCCACGGTGAAGAGAAGGATGACTAAACCGATTAGAACGAACGCGCTTTGAGCAGTTGTCAACGAATAGTGATGTGCAGGTATTGCGTTGAATGTATTCTACGCGGAGGGTGGAGGGATCAGGCGGGCGGGGGAGAAGGGTGCGGTGAATGGCTCTCCCACCACACCCTTCTCCCCCGCACCCCACCCTTCACCATGGCTCTCCCACCACACCCAAGGTGACATGGTGGCAATCACTGTCCCACATCAATCTGTGAGTCAGCTAAGACAAAGTAACGCTCACTGTTACACGTCGATTCGTGAGTCAACTAATACAAAGTGGTGGCACTCACTGTTCCACATCGGCGATCGTGTTGGGTGGGAAGGCCGCCCGCTCCAAGTCCTCCATCTGATGGTGGTGGTCAATGATGGTCAATGGTGGTCAACGGTGGTCAATGGTGGTCAACAACGTCAGGCACAGGGGGACAGTAAGGTCAACGTCAGGCACACGGAGGGAAAGCGATGAGAAAGAGAGAGAGGTGGGAGACGAGAGGTGGAAGACGAGAGGTGGAAGACGAAAGCTGGGAGACGAAAGGTGGGAGACGAAAGCTGGGAGACGAAAGGTGGGAGACGAAAGCTGGGAGACGATAGCATGCCAGAGCATTTCACTGAGCAGGGAATGCACCCTCCCCCACACCCTCCCCTCCCCCCTCCACACCCAACCCCCCACCCCACACACACCACCCACCCGGGCAGCAATGACTCGCATCAGCCATGGCTTGGTGATTCCCGTCGCCTGCCGCACTGCCCCCAGCGCCACCAGCACTGGGTGGTCCTCGGGTGGCTGGCCCTGCGTGTGAGCACACATGGAGATTGGGGTTATGTAAGGAATTGAGATTTCAGGTGCTCATCTCAAGAAGCAGCCACGGCTTGGTGATTCCCGTCGCCTCCCGCACTGCTCCCAGCGCCACCAGCACTGGCTGTTCCTCCGGGGGCTGGGCGTGTGTGTGTGAACGTGGGCATGTGGGGTGCAAGTGAGAATTGGGGCCTGGGGTTGAGAAGGGAAGGAACTGCGTTAATTGGGGCCTGGGGTTGAGAAGGGAAGGAACTGCGTTAATTGGGGCCTGGGGTTGAGAAGGGAAGGAACTGCGTTAATTGGGGCCTGGGGTTGAGAAGGGAAGGAACTGCGTTAATTGGGGCCTGGGGTTGAGAAGGGAAGGAACTGCGTTAATTGGGGCCTGGGGTTGAGAAGGGAAGAAACTGCGTTAATTGGGGCCTGGGGTTGAGAAGGGAAGGAACTGCGTTAATTGGGGCCTGGGGTTGAGAAGGGAAGGAACTGCGTTAATTGGGGCCTGGGGTTGAGAAGGGAAGGAACTGCGTTAATTGGGGCCTGGGGTTGAGAAGGGAAGGAACTGCGCTAATTGGGGCCTGGGGTTGAGAAGGGAAGGAACTGCGTTAATTGGGGCCTGGGGTTGAGAAGGGAAGGAACTGCGTTAATTGGGAGGGACGCGCCTCCCGCACTGCCCCCAGCGCCACCAGCACTGGGTGGTCCTCCGGGGGCTGGCCCTGGGAACATTGGGTATGTTCAAAAGGGGAGTGCAGATCAACGGCGCCTCAAAGGCCAGAAAACGTCGCACTGGAGCGCAGGGTTGACACTCAAAAGTCGCACAGGGTGGCTCTCAAGGAGCTGGGCCAGCGAATTTTGAGTCGACTCAAGAGTCACCTCGTCAGGAGCGCAGGGTTAACACTCAAAAGTCGCACAGGGTGGTTCTCAAGGATCTGGGCCAGCGTGGCTGGGTCTGTGTGTGCCATACATGTAGGGGGGAAGTTACCTGAAAGAGGCGGGTGAGGGCGTCTCTCCACCAGGCGAGGCGAATGATGGCAAGGCGGTGCTCCCGAGCCCTGTCCGGGATCTGTAGTGTTGTGGGGAAGAAGAAGAGCAGTGGAGCACAGGAGAGGGAAAGGGCGTGCAGTGTTAAGGTACAAGGCGCCGCTCCCGCGCCCTGTCACGGATCTGCAGCGTTGCGAGGAGGAAGGACGTTGCGGGGCGTCAAGAGAAAACGGAGCAATGGGGCAACGGGGCAAAGGGGCGATGAGGCGACCGGAGCAATGGGGACAAGGGGCAAAGGAGAAGCGTACCAATGAGGTCTCTACATTGAATGCTCTGAGCGCGAATTGGGTGGGACTGTGCTGTGCTGGGGTGACTTTTTGAGTCCACAGGAAAACCGCACTGGGGCGATGAGGCTACTAAGGAGGGGCGTACCAATGAGGTCTCCACATTGAATGCTCTGAGCGCGAATTGGGTGGGCCTGTGTTGTGCTGGCATGTACAGTGCTCCGATGTAGTGCTCCGAGTCATGCTTCCTGACACGTTGCCAATGATGTGGATGGGTGTGGTGAAACGAACGGCACATGGTGGGGTGTGTTATAGAACTGGCTGTACGGGCCTGGGTTGTGCCGGCATGCACAGCGCTCCAATGTAGTGCTCCGAGTCATGCTTCCTGCCACAATGCCAATGATGTGAAATGGCTGATGAGATGGATGGCATTAAACAGCATGCACCACGGATAAAAATGTGCCTCATGCCTCACGCGACATGCAGCAAGCAGCATGCAGCACGCATGTTGCTGACTCGTGGATCCTTCAGCGTGCGTTCAGTGTGTTGCAGCATCCTTAGCCTGCTTCGGCGCACCTGACTTGGTCCACGCAGTACTTGAACGCCTCACGCAGCTTCGCGGAACTCGCCTTGCCGGCCATTCTCCACGCGTCGCCCCTCTCCCAGCCCCCTCTCCACGTGTCGCCGTCCACTCCTCCGCCACTCACGCTGCGGCCTCTAGCCTGTTTCGGCGCGCTCTGTCGTGTCTGTTCAGGCCAAGGGCCGCAGCGCGAGTGGAGGAGCGTCTATCCTGTTTCCGGACGTTCTGTTCCAGGCGCCGCCAGATTTGCCGTTCAACCGTCCAGTTCTCCTGCCGCTTGAATCTGAAACGCCACGTCCAGCCGTCTGACTGCCAGAGCCGGCGTTCCAGAATTTGTTACCTTACACGTTTCAGGCCTTGCGCATCGGGTGTTTCTTGTAAGTACGTCTCAACGAAGTTTGATAACAAGTTTTGATGACAAGTTTGATACAAGAATGTACGTGGGAGGTTCTTGTAAGTACGTCTCAACGAAGTTTGTACGGCACAAAGAAGCTGATCGCGAATCGCCCAATTCGGGACGTCGAAGCCAGGCGTACCCAGAAATTGTCGGCGCCTGAGATCTGCAAGCGCGCCTCGCAGATCGCGAGCGCCTTTCGGATCGCAGGGGCACTAGCCCGATGAGCGTCCAAAGAGAACCACAATGAAGAAAATGATGTGGGACGGAGTCATCAAGGAACCACTGATCTGTTCTCTGCACACGAATCAATGGATTGATTTGATCAATTGAGTTGTGAGAGGGATGCTGGAGCGCACAGCACATTCACGAACCACACCGCATTTCTTGCCCACGTACGCGCTATACGGAGTTTCTGCGACTTACACGTCATGGGACGTTCAATCGAACCAATGCATCTTTGTCTTTATGGCTGGCTTGCAGGATTTCGTATAGCACATGCTTTTGACATTGGCACTCAATACTTTCTCGCAACCTAGTCAATCAGGTGTTTATTTAAAGCCAATAATAACGATGCTGATGTTGTCCTCGCCTTTCCGATCCTGCAAAAGGGGCACCGAGCAAAAGGATGAATTAATTAACACAGATAGCAGTGCAATCAGAGTGCAATGCACTACCGTATATGACAACAGAGTACCAAGTACCTGAAGCGCAAAACTGGCTAGGTTGTCTGTTGCTTGTTGAATGTCACCATGGCTTTCCAACTCCCTTCGAACAAACGCCACGGCTTCCGAGCTGTAGCAAGAAATGAAACCATATCACGAAAAGTGAGGCATGAGACAAGACCCCAAGATGCCACCACACACGAAGAGGGATGGGGGACAGTGCGGAAAGAAGCTAGCATCAGAGGAAGACGTGGAGATGAGAAAAAAGAGGGTTACTTGCAGCGATGGAAGATGGAATGCGAAACGGCCGACAGATAAACCAGAGTGCCACACGAGAGGGTCAAACGGGAAGGCAACTTAAGACCCTCATAATAGAAGGGCCGAATCAGAGGCCCACCAGAGAGGGTCAGCCAAGACCTCACCTTTTCACGCCCTCCCAGAGCCCATCAGACGCAATGATGACAAAACTCGGCATGAGAGAGCCAGCAGAGAGCGCCACCAAAGAGGCGTACAAGAGAGGGCAGACAGACGGCTTTGCCAAAGAGGCTTACAAGAGAGGGCAGACAGACGGCTCTACCAAAGAGGCTTACCTCTTCACGCCCTCCCAGAGCCCGTCGGACGCAATGATGACAAACTCGGCATCCTCCTCCACCTCAGCAGCATACACGTCCGGCACGGCAGAGATCCAATCGCTCTGAAACGAGCGCCTGAGAGGGGAGGGGAAGGCGAGTAGAGGTGCAGTGGTGGAGGGAGATGGCAGCTGGAGTCGACTCAACAGCCAGCTCAGCAGCTCGTCCGGCACCGCAGAGATCCATCGCTCTGAAACGAGCACCTGAGAGGGGAGGGGGTGGCGAGGAGAAGGCGGAATGGTGAAGGGATCACTTACAATGAGCATGTGGGTGTGAGAGCTGTGGCAGAACGGCCAGCGCTATGAGCAGGCACTTGGAGTGAAAACACGACCGATAGAGAGAAGCGTCTACTTGGATGGAAGCATGAGCTGACTGGAAGTGGCACTTACTTGGAGACAAAGCGGGTGGTCCAGCGCCCCTTCTTCACACCTTGAAGACTTTTGAGGCGCCTAAAACATCTGAAAGCATCAGGCAACTGCAGGTGGGTGGCACTTACTTGGAAACGAAGCGGGTGGTCCAGCGGCCCTTCTTCACACCTTCTGACAGCATCCTGCAGCACACCGGGTACGGGGACACAGCGGGATGTGGGCTTTGGATCTTGCAGTTGAATGAGAACTGATCTGATGGTTTCCAGTCACTGTGTCCAGCCACTGTGTCCAGCCAGATTCAAGGAAACCGTTCGATAAAAGACATGGTTTCAAAAGCAAGGTCAAATGTGCTGGAACGGTGCTGGAATGCAAAGTGCTCACTGTTCGCGTCGTGTCTTGAAGTTGGCGTTGCCAAAGGCACGAGACACTGCCACCACTCCACACACGCGGCCTTGACTCACCTGTCATCCAAACACTCACACACACACACAGCCACGCATTCACACAGAGCAAGGACGACGATTCAGAACAGATAGGTGCTAGTGGAAATGCTATGTATGCCCCACGGATAACCGTTTGACCTGAGATGCATGTCCCATCACACACCTTGCCTTTCCTTCTCTTCGCATCACACACCTTGCCTTTCCTTCTCTTCGCATCACACACCTCGCCTGTCCTTCTCTTCGCATCACACACCTCGCCTTTCCTTCTCTTCGCATCACACACCTCGCCTTTCCTTCTCTTCGCATCACACACCTTGCCTTTCCTTCTCTTCGCATCACACACCTCGCCTTTCCTTCTCTTCGCATCACACACCTTGCCTTTCCTTCTCTTCGCATCACACACCTTGCCTTTCCTTCTCTTCGCATCACACACCTCGCCTTTCCTTCTCTTCGCATCACACACCTCGCCTTTCCTTCTCTTCGCATCACACACCTTGCCTTTCCTTCTCTTCGCATCACACACCTCGCCTGTCCTTCTCTTCGCATCACACACCTCGCCTTTCCTTCTCTTCGCATCACACACCTCGCCTTTCCTTCTCTTCGCATCACACACCTTGCCTTTCCTTCTCTTCGCATCACACACCTCGCCTTTCCTTCTCTTCGCATCACACACCTCGCCTTTCCTTCTCTTCGCATCACACACCTCGCCTTTCCTTCTCTTCGCATCACACACCTCGCCTTTCCTTCTCTTCGCATCACACACCTCGCCTTTCCTTCTCTTCGCATCACACACCTCGCCTTTCCTTCTCTTCGCATCATACACCTCGCCTGTCCTTCTCTTCGCATCATACACCTCGCCTTTCCTTCTCTTCGCATCACACACCTCGCCTTTCCTTCTCTTCGCATCACACACCTCGCCTTTCCTTCTCTTCGCATCACACACCTCGCCTTTCCTTCTCTTCGCATCACACACCTCGCCTTTCCTTCTCTTCGCATCACACACCTCGCCTTTCCTTCTCTTCGCATCACACATGCCTTATTTTCTTTCCCATCACCAAGTTGTCCTATGTTTCCTTATCACCCTTTCTGTCCACCCCCATCTCCACTCATTCCACACCACGCCTCCTCCACATAGCTGCCAAAGGCCCCCTTCTCACCCACAGCCACCCATCAGCCGCACGCACTCACCCATCCGCCCGCCTTCTCAATCCGCTTGATCTCTGCCTTGGCAATCGGTGACTCCCCATGGGGCTTGTGGTCCTGAGACAGGTCCTCCGTGTCTCCACCCACCCCCAGCACCTGCGATGAAGGGGACAGAAAGAAATCTGGATTTGAGACGCCTCATCGCAGTGGCGACTCCTCCACGTCACCACCCACCCCTAGCCGCATTAACTAATTGGTACAGCAGGGATGATGATGGGAGAAGCGTGTAAAGGAGGTGACTTTTGAGTCGACTCAGAAGTCGCTGCATTAACTAATTGGTACAGCAGGGATGATGATGGGAGAAGCGTGTAAAGGAGGTGACTTTTGAGTCTACTCAGAAGTCGCTGCATTAACTAATTGGTACAGCAGGGATGATGATGGGAGAAGCGTGTAAAGGAGGTGACTTTTGAGTCGACTCAGAAGTCGCTGCATTAACTAATTGGTACAGCAGGGATGATGACAGGAGGCTTGGTTGGGATGATGCGGGACAGGCAGGAGCACGAGAAAGAGGCGAGGGGCTTAAGAGGGCATTGAGACTCCCCATGCCATGGTGACCCATTGATAGGTCCTCCGCGTCATCCTCCTTCCCAACTCAGCACCTAACATCACCGCAGGAACAGTCAGAGGTGCTCGGAGCAGAGCTTGAGTGTGCTGCTGAGACATCTCAGCACGTGGTTGGCGCACCAGCGCGGGAGGGAGTCCCCGAGGTGCACAATGAAGAGCCAGTCCTTGCGCACAAACGCCACAGTGCCTCCATATCGGCCCACACCCCCGCCACCACCTCCTATCAAGTCAGGGACAGCTGTATGTTAGAGGTACTCACAGCGCGGGAGTCCCCGAGGTGCACAATGAAGAGCCAGTCCTTGCGCACAAACGCCACCGTGCCTGTGGACCCTGACTCCGGCTCCTTGTGAAGTGAGGCGAGTTTCTTTCTAAGCACCTAATAAATCGTCTCACAGCGCGGGAGTCCCCGAGGTGAGCGATGAAAAGGCGATCCTTGCGCACAAACGCCACCGTGCCTGTGGACCCTGACTCCGGCTCCTCACTGTGCTCCGCCAGCCTGAATATGAATAGGAGCCGGAAACGAGAAGGGGGATAGGGGTCCACGCGTGTGCGTGAGGCAGAAGGGGTGCGTTGGAGACGAAGAGGCATATGGTCAATGTAGCTGCCTCAGTGGTCCTGACTGTACTCAGTGTGCACCCAGCGTGGAGAGCGTGGGTGCATGGGTGCACGTGAGGAGGAAGGGTGAAAGGGCATGTTTGAGACTAGGAAGTACACGGCTGTTTCAGCTGACTCAATGGCCCATCAAGGGGGTCTTTTAAATGTTTCATTACACGAAGTCTTGCTACAAGATATCGCGTCACCGACTAACGATGCTGCACTCACCACTGCAGCAGCCTCTGGTCCGCCTGAATGAAGGCGTCTTGAAGCGCTTCCTCCACAGCATCGAGATCCTCGTCCGACAGTAACGCGCCTCCTTCTAACGCGTCCATGCAGTCGATGTACAACTCGTCCCTGCCATCACCCATTAACATTCCATCACCCATCGCCCATCGCCCATTGCCCAGGAGATGAGATTCAACAGGAACCGGAATGTGCATTTTCACACGGAGTCCCACGATCAAGGAACTGACATTTGGAGGTTCTCTTTCTAAAAACTAGTAGAAAGGCATTGGAAATATATTTAATGGGCTCGTACTTTAGGAATCGAGCGGAAGCGCTTCCCGCATGGCCGTCAAAGATGCCGGCGTAGAGAAACCCGCCGGGAATGTCTCGGATCACGACCAGATGGTCCTCCATGCTGTCGCGCAGGCCTTGCGCCGTGTGGTACCCGACCTTGAGACCTCCGTGATCCCCTCCCGACACCTCCGCTGATGCGACGGACGAAGAGCTTTCCGTCGCCATCGCGCGAACTCCAGTAACGTGCTTTCGCGAGACCGAGCATGTTTTGATGTTTGGTGTGTTGCAACGGAGCGGGAGACTACCGGATAGCAGGGAAGAATTCAAATGTAGTCGCGCTGTCTTTGTAATGGCGGAAGACGCAATGGAGTCAAGACAAGGCGTCGAAGCGACTACTGCTTTGCCAGAAGCAGCAACATGGCTGAGCGTCGCCGCCATCAGAAGCAAGTGCAATAAGAAATGCGTCCAGGTTAGGACTTAGACTGCGAAAAAACTAGGTGACGCGCGACTCCAGCTGTCAGAGATTCCTAACTGCTTTTTTATACACAACACAAGCAGCTGAACTCGTTTCAATCCAGGTAACAGAGGAATGGTGTGGTGATGATCAGGTGGGGGGGAGATGAATGAAGCCGAGCAGTAGATTTGAGCAGAGATGAAGCAAAACCAGGAAGGACTCCGCGAGGAAAACACGCACTGAAATTGGCAGGACCAAGGGCACTGTCGCCACAATCACGTTGTAAGGTGATTGTGGCGACACAAGACTGGCATTTAGTGAATGCAACTGCTTATTGCTGCTTCTTTGGGTTAAGTGTCGTCGTCTCTGAACCAACTAGAGTTCACCCTTCGTACAGCTGTATTCTGGGCCACATCTTCCGCCAGCTTGGCAGAGTGCGACATTTTCTCACGAAGGTACAGCCCAGAAACGAGCGAACAGTTCAGCCTACCAAATCCACTAGTGACCTGGAATTCTGGTTCGATGACACAGCTGCATAGTGTGTCTAGGTGGTACTCTTCGATTGAGTGACCCGATATGATTTTGGAATAACGAACAGTTCGTGTTAACCACATCCTCTCGTAGAAAAGCGATGTAGCGAACAGTTCTTCGCCCATCACCACCGCTTCCTTCAATCGTCTTTCGAAACAGGAAGCTCTCGCCACGCCACAACACCCACCACCTTTCATGTTCTGCACCAGTGCCATGGACGACTTGCAGTGTTGGCCAAAACACTTGAGGTCCTTCAGTCTCAGACATGCACCTCAACCATCGGATCAGGGAAGTAGATTTTCTATCCACGTGTCGATACCGATCACCACGTTTTCTTGCATCCAGATTGTTAACCGCGCGCTTTCGACACGCGTGACTCACCTTGCTGACTCGGCGACGTGCTCTGTCTAGTCATTCGTCAGGTCTCCAGCCTATCCCGTTTCGAGAAATATCGGAACGCTGCCCCGATGAACACTTCCAGAAGCTGGCAGTTCTTTGGGATTGACGAGCGCATTCACCTGACCAGCAATCCCGCTGGACATTCGTGATTTTGTGAAGCCGCATTCCTCCACACCTCTCTTCCCCCTCCACACCCCACTGACTGACCGCTGCTCTCTCCAACTCTACCTTGCTTCCTCTTCTGACCAGCAATCCCTAGACACAATCCTCTCTTTCCACATCCTTAATCCTTTCAAACCATCCGAACCCTTTCAAAATCTCCGACATCCCACCCCATCCCATCTTATTCCTGCTCCCGCCTTTCTCCCTCAGACTGTTTTGTCCCATTCAGTTCAAGCTCCTTGCTCATTCACCAGTGACATTTCTATCTGTGAATGTGACTAGCGACCAAGGAGTCCAGTCACACTGTACATTTCAGTACGCCATGCTTTCAAGCTGTCAACTCTGTTAGTCCTCTGCTGTCTCCGACAGCAATACCGTGGACGCGGGATCCACGTAATTCTCGATTCAGCGCTCGCCTCGTTCCCGCGCGAGGAAACTAAAGCAAGGCTAGGCTATAAGCCATTTTCAGTGGGATCAAACCTGCAAGCGAACGAGCAATAGGTTATCCACGTGAGCAGGTTATTGCACCTGCTTCGAACGCTTCGAGTCAGCCTTGTCATAGATTACCAGTAGCGAAGATTCCGTCTGAAGCATGGCAGCAGTCGAAGCTTCCTGTCTTCAAGCGGGAAAGTGTCTCCCGCGCGGAGCTTCCCCGTCCGCATCTCCCGCTTCCCGCATTTCCCTAACTTCATCGCTCACCTCTACTCCCGCGAGCCTGCGATTGCTACAACTTCGCCGCTCTCAATCCCTCCCAAGCTCACTCAAATCCGGTCATAGCTCTAGCTCGAATGGCGGTGCTCTCAGCACACGATGCGACGCCTCAGGACCCGTGAACGACCTGCTCGTCTCGTTAATGGCAGCCGTCAGCTCTGACGGCGCGCTGACGGACGGATCACTTTCCTCTCTCTTCCTGGCCGTCGGCGTCGGTCTCCCGTGCACCGTCATGCAATGCGGTGACGTCATCTACCGGAGCACGCTCGCAGCGGACGATCAGTTGAGATTGACGGTGGGAGGAGTGCTGCTGCTGCTTCTGTTGGGGACTTACATGTGGGCCACGCCGGGCGTCGTTCCCGGGTTCTTCGATATGTTCGTGTACGGGCCGATCGAGCGCAAGATACGGCCGCAGCTTAAGAAGGTGAGATGCACGTTGGCAAAAAAGGTGTGCTTCATGCGAGGCGGATTTATCCCGAGGGGGACTTTTATACAATCTGACTCGTTTCGAGGCGGACATTGTTACACGCACTGAACGGGCGTCTTGCGCGCCGGGTGATTCCTTTTGCGATAGTTGATTTGGTGTGTTGATAATTCAACATTCTGTGACATTCTGACGTCGTTAGCAGTCTGGCTTCTGGAGAATCATTCCGCTGATCACAAAAAATCCCAGCGACAGTTTGCCGAACCATTTCGTAAACTGAAGCCATTGGTAACTGTTTCGCAAGCTAATGCGAAACATTCCACGAATAAATGCTTGATCATCCCCTTCCCTTCGACGCTCCTGGTCTTAATTCGCGTACATGGTGCGGCCGCAACCGCCTGTTTGCTTTCTTTCCTCGCATCCCTCTTCTTGACGTTGCAGGGAGTTTTTAAGAATTCTCAAAAACTCCCTGTAACTCTTCCTGTACCCCTTCTCTCCACTAAATGTGGCCTTTCTCCCGTCCTCTCCCCCTCCCCCTCTCCCCTTCCGTTCCGCGCGCACAGTCCGACGTGAAGCTGGGGCGCAAGCTGGGGGAGGGCGCATACGGCAGCGTGTTCCGTGCCACCATCGCGGACAAGCCGGGGGAAGAGGTGCGCGCATAAGGGGAAGGGGTGAAAGGGGAAAGTACAGCGAGACCAGGCGAGAGTAAGGGGAACCGGTCACTGGAGGACACGGCTAGGAGGGGAAGATGGCGGGAGTGGGGATGATGGGGGTAAGGGGACGAGCGCGGGTGGAAGGGGAATTCAGGGTTTGGTTGAAATGAGTATGCAGCAGGGGAGGGGAGGCTGGTTCACTGCGGGGGTAGCAGGGAGTCAAGCAATGCAAGAGAGCTATGCTATGGGTTGCCTCATATTGTGAGGGATAGCTTGCTCGGCCTAACACTTTGACTCGCCCCCCTCGTCCAGTCCCGTCACATTCGTCTAGAACCTCGCGCTTCATTCTTCGCTCCCTTCTCGTCCCTACTTTTGTCCCCAACCTGCCCCCTCCGCCGCCTGTCTCCCGTCCCCCTCTCACCCGTGTGTCACGCGCGCGACACGACACCAGTTCGTGGTGAAGAAGGCGAGCGAGTTCGGCGCGGCGGAGCTGTGGATGAACGAGCGCGTCAGGCGCGCGTGCCCGCAGGCATGCGCGGACTTCGTCGACGGCTTCGTGGAGGTGCGCTGGAAGGGGGAGGAAGGGGGGAGAGAGGGGACTGAGGTGGTCGAAGGGCGGCGGAAGTATGCTGTGGGGATGGGGGGCGTTGGCGGCGCTGTGGGAATAAAGGGGGGCAGATTAGAACTTCCCTCCCTCTACACTCCCCACTCCCCCGTCCCACCTCCCCTGTCCTCTTCGTTTGCTCGCCCACGCCCTCCTTCTCCCACCCCGAGCAGAAGACCAAGACGCGTGACAACTTTTGGATCGTGTGGAGATTCGAGGGAAATGCCACCTTCGCTGACGTGCTGCAGGACGAGAACTTCCCCTACAATGTGAGTGTAGAGATCATACGTGAGTGTGGATATCATAACTTCCCCTACAACGCGAGTGTGGAGATTAGAACTTCCCCTACAACGCGAGTGTGGAGATTAGAACTTTCCCTACGATGTGAGTGTTGAGATCATAACTTCCCCTACAATGTGAGTGTTGAGATCATATCTTCTCCTACAACGTGAGTGTTGAGATTAAAACTTCCCCTACAACGTGAGTCATGAGATTGCACGAAACCTTCTTACATCCTTTCGTCCCCCCTCTCCCTCCTACCAGAGGAGGAGATGATGCTGGGGCACGTGCCTCAAGAGCCCCTCAAACCACCTTCCTCCGCGCATTCAATCTTTTATATCCCCTAAACGCGCCCCACCCCTCCTCCCCTCCTCCCCTTCACATCACAGGAGGTGAAGGCAGTGCTGGGGTACGTGCCGCGCGAGCCCCTCCAACCATTACCAACCCATTCATACTCCCCTACATTCGCTCACCCCCTCTTCCCCTCCCCTCCCCCGATCTCCCCCCCGCACAGGTGGAGAAGGCAGTGCTGGGGTACGTGCCACGCGAGCCCCTCCAACCATTTCCCACCCATGAGCACTCCTTTATATTCACTCGGAACCTCTTCCTTCTTCCTTCCCCCACCTCGCAGGTAGAGAAGGCAGTGCTGGGGTACGTGCCTCGCGAGCCCAAGGGCCCGGAGCGGGAGATGCGCGTGATCCGCACCATCCTGAAGCGCATCCTGAAGAGTGTGGACAAGCTGCACTCCGTGGGCATTGTGCACCGTGACATCAAGCCACAGAACATGATCTTCAACTCGGGTGAGTGGAGGGATGAAGGCATTACGAGAGGGGATAATGGACACAGTAGCAGGGGGTTGTGAGAGCACTAGCAGGGGAGTAGGAGCATCCTGAAGCGCATCCTGAAGAGTGTGGACAAGCAGCACTCCGTGGGCATTGTGCATCGTGACATCAAGCCACGGAACATGATTTTCAACTCGGGTATGTTTGACAGATGAAGGCATTAGGAGCAAGGCAATGTGCGTGCGCATGAGCAGGGGAGTGGGGCTGGGGGGGTTGTGGGGGGTTGCAGCCTCAAGCGCATTCTCAAGAGCGTGGACAAGCTGCACTCGGTGGCAATCATTTTGCATCGTGACATCAAGCCGCAAACCAAGATCAGGACAATCCGCAACTGGGGGGTGTTCAGGCCCTGAGACTCAGGGAGGCAGGCATGGAAGCACAGAACATGATCCACAACTCTGGTATGGTCGAGGCATGTAGGCGATACGAGTAGCGGCGTGTAGAAACAGGGGAATGCGTTCTGGATGACAAGGACCAGTTGTGCACCGTGAATGGGTGGCCACTGGCCACTGGCCTGGTCGTGGAAGGATCACTTGGTGGGGATAAACAAATGAAATACAGAGAGTTAGGGGGGACAAACAAACGAAATACAGAGAGTAAGGGGGGACAAACAAATGAAAAGAGAGTTGGGGGGGACAAAAAAACGAAATACAGAGAGTTAGGGGGGACAAACAAACGAAATACAGAGAGTTAGTGGGGACAAAAAAACGAAATACAGAGAGTTAGGGGGGACAAACAAACGAAATACAGAGAGTTAGTGGGGACAAACAAACGAAATACAGAGAGTTAGGGGGGACAAACATACGAAATACAGAGAGTTAGGGGGGACAAACAAACGAAACACACACCATGCTGCTGCTGCTGCTGCTGCTGCTGCCGCCGCCGCTGCGACCGCCGCCGCCGCCGCCGCCGCCGTCGCTGCTGCTGCTGCTGCTGCTGCTGCTGCTGCTGCCGCTGCTGCTGCTGCTGCTGCCGCTGCTGCTGCTGCTGCCTCTGCTTCTGCTGGTTCTACCTACACCATCACCACTTGTTCTCTCCTCCATTCCCCCTTCCCTCCCCTCGTCCATGCAGACACGGGAATGCTGAAGATCATTGACCTGGGTGCTGCTGCTGACCTGCGAGTGGGCATCAACTACAACCCCAACGAGTTCCTGCTCGACCCGCGGTGAGTAGAGGGGGGTGCGCTGTGGTGTACTGTGCTGCTCTGCCCCGTTCCATGCCTCACATGTTGTGCATGTTGACCTGCGCGTGGGCATCTGGCTGCCTTGTGCCATGCCCCTCACTGCTGACCTGCGGGTGGGCATCCGGTGGGTGGGCTGGGCTCCCTCACAACAACCCCAACGTGCCCCTGCTGGACCCCTGGTGGTTACAGAGAGAGAACAAAAAGGAGGGAGGCAGTGGGAGGGGGAAAGGGGGGTTGTTGAGCTTTGGAGGACTTTGTTGGTCCTTTAACTAGTTCCCACCTATGCGGAACAAGAGCAGTACATCAGAACACTGAGACTCAGAACCTCGCACCCCTCTCTCCCACTCCCTCACCCATCCTCCCCTGTCAACCCAGCTACACGGCACTCAGACGGCCTTGCATGGGCTTGAAACCTTCACCTCAAAAAACCACTTTCTCCCCCCCCCCCTCCATTCCCCCCCTTCCTCCCTGCTTCATCCTAATCCTCCAGCTATGCAGCACCAGAGCAGTACATAATGAGCACTCCGAGAACCTTTCCCCCTTCCCCCACCCCCCCACCCTCTCCGCCCCTCTTGCCCTCACAGCTATGCAGCACCAGAGCAGTACATAATGAGCACTCAGACGCCTAATGCGCCTCCCCCCACCATCGCTGCTCTGCTCTCGCCAGTGCTTTGGCAGGTGTGTGGATTGCCTAGTTGCCAGTGGGGGTTTTGATTGTGAGTGGGGTGTGTGATCGTGAGCGCATGCACTTGTGGTTGGGCGTGTGCGTGGGTGTGTCTGACTATGTGTGCCTGCATTAACAATACCCAAGGTGGGCGTGTGGGTCGACTCAAAATTCACCTCGTTGGGCATGGCATGTGCGTGGGTGTGTCGTGTGCCTGCAATCTCACTCCCTGTCCCTGTCCCTGTGCCTGTGCCTGCATCAACAACACCCGAACCAGAAATCTGTGTCCTTGCCCTTCAATCTCACTCCCTGTCCCTGTCCCTGTGCCTGTGCCTGCATCAACAACACCCGAACCAGAAATCTGTGTCCTTGCCCTTCAATCTCACTCCCTGTCCTTCCTCACTCTTCCTCTCCCCTGCAGATGAACCTCCCTGACCGTTTCGACATGTACAGTGTGGGAATTATCTTCCTTCAAATGGTGCGTGCTATAACGGGGCTGGGAGTTATTGCTGGGGGGAATTATAACGGGGCTGGGAGTTATAACGGGGCTGGGAGTTATAACGGGGCTGGGAGTTATAACAGGGCTGGGAGTTATAACGGGGCTGGGAGTTATTGCTTGTTACGTCTTTACCAATCTACGCACAAGCAGTCCCTTCATTCAGATCAACCGCCAACTCATTTTCTCCCTTCCCTTCCGCCCGTGTTTTCCTGTCCCTCCCCCCTCATGTCGTCTGTACTTCTCCCATCATCCCATCATGTCATTGCATCATTCCATCCCCTCCCTGCTCCCCCTTCCCCAGGTCTTCCCCAACCTCGGCACTGACAGTCCTCTCGTTCAGTTCAACCACCAGCTCATCTACTCCCTCCCCTCCACTCCTATCCCGTTCCCTCCATCCCCTCCCTCCCCCTCCCCCTCCCCCTCCCCCTCCCCCTCCCCCTCCCCCTCCCCCTCCCCCTCCCATTCCTCCTCTCCCTCAGGACTTCCCCAACCTCCGAACCGAAAGCCCACTAATCCAGTTCAACCGCCAGCTCATCTACTCCCTTCCCTCCCCTCCCATCCTAACCACTCTCCCTGTCCCGCCTCTTCCCCCTCCCCAGGTCTTCCCCAACCTCCGCACGGACAGTCCCCTGATCCAGTTCAACCGCCAGCTGAAGCGCTGCGAGTACGATCTCGCCAAGTGGCGCGAGGTGCAGGAAGGCCGCGCACTCAGCGACGCGCAGCTCAAAGCCTTCGCCATGCTCGACGCTGACGGCGGCCACGGCTGGTCCCTCCTGCAAGCCCTCGTCAACGTGAAGCCCGGGCGGCGGATTTCGGCCGCGGGAGCGCTCGCGCACCCGTTCTTCTACCCTGGAGATGTGCCGCTGCTGCAGCAGCTGCGGCTGGGGTTTGTGCGGTTCCTGTATCGGGACAACACGGAGCTGTCGGAGGCGTTTGGGACGTTCATGTCGAAAGCAGGCACGGATGAGGCTGGCGGATTCACGGAAGCGTCGCTTATGGAATTCAAGGTGAGAGAAGGGGGATTTGGGGTTTGTGCGGTTTCTGTACCGGGACAACACTGAGTTGTCAGAGGCGTTCGGGACGTTCATGTTGAAAGCGGGCTCGGGTGAGGCAGGCGGGTTTACGAAAGCATCGCTTATGGAGTTCAAGGTGAGAGGGGCGGACTTGAGTGTGTGTTTGGATGCAATGTGCTCGCTCATTCACCCACCATCCAGTGTGATCCTTCCTTCACCCACCTTCCAATCTGCACCCTCTTGCACCCACCCTTCAATATTTCTGCCTTCTCATCAGTCCACCAACAGCCTGATTTGTTTCCCCTACATTTGTTCATTGTATGCTTGGCTCCGTGAGCAGAAGAGGGAAAAGAAGATGAAGAAGTCAACACTAGACCGCAACGCACTGGCCTCCATGATCAAGGTGTCACGGAAGGTGTCAAAAAACGTTGCATCCACCATGTCTACCACGTTCGGCAGTTCTAAGGAGGATGGTGCCAAAAAAGAAGCCTGGTGGAACCGGTGGCAATCGGAATAGGTGGTGCTACACTGGTATACTGGCTTCCCTAAGTTCAATGTTTTTTTTCTCCTTTTCTAAAATCTTATAGAACAATTTTATGGTTTTCTAGCGATCCCTCTCTCGCTGCAGAGTCAAGCAAGTATGCCTCTCTTGGCAGATGTTATATATCCATAACTCGATGGTACCGCATGTCCAGCGAACTACACGTTTACCGGTTTTGCTGAAGAGGTTTGCAGCAGCTACCTTGGCGTTAGTGAGGCTGCATGCCTTGCGTGCTGTAGTGGGTATCTTAAGGTTTTGTTACAATCATACACAGGACTTAGCGGAAGTTAGGTTTGAGATGTTGCAGCGGAAGCATTAACCTCAGGCCAGAGTGAATGTAATCGACTGACATAATAAAAGCATGCATACATCGGGTTCATATAGGATGAGAATACTAGAACGAGAATGAATGAACTATGAAAGAGTTGGGTACAAGTACTAACCCCAATTGGGTTGTACCCCTTATGGGCTACCCCACTATAGCTTACACAAAATGCATAAGCTATGATGTTCTGACACACCCCCATAGGCAAATTGGGGGAGAACAAGGGGTCATAAGACCAGTCAAGCAAAGCAAAGCAAGCTCAGGGTGGATCACAAAGTCAACACACATTCCGAGCACAAGTTCAAAGGCCACAAGGCCAGTTCACATGCAGGAGAACATATATATATAAAAAGGCTAGACAAACAAGAGTAGGTGTATATATATATGTAACAGTACAAACAAGGTCAAGAGGTGAGCAAGTGAGGCAAGGCACGCACAAGACCCAGCTGAGTACAGAAGCGCTGATGATCACAAGGCGCAAGCGCCTTGGTGAAGATATCAGCAGTGTTGGCCTTAGAGGCCACGTACGCAAGACGCAGCTGACCACGCTGCTGCAGCTCACGAGCAAGAAAGTAGCGGAGAGCAATGTGCTTCGTTCTGTGCTCCAGACGCTGCTCCCGACACAAGGCCAGCATGGCCTTGTTGTCTACGTACAGCACTGGAGGAGAACGAGGCGGCTCTCCGAGGTCAGTCAGCAAGTAGGTGAGCCAGCAAAGCTCCTGAGCAGCCATGGCTCCTGCGTAGATCTCATCCTCACAACTGGAGCCGAGAACAGAAGACGAGCGAGTAGCCCGCCACGAAACAGAGCCGGAACCAAAGCTGAAGGTGTAACCCTGTGACAACCGCTGCGTAGCCTGGTCGTCAGCCTAAGAAGCGTCTGCGTGCCCTGTGAGGATCACTGGACTCTGCCCTCCAAGCACAAGCCCCATGCCCGACGTATTGCACAAGTAGCGCAACACCCTCTTCGCTGCAGCCATGTGCTCTGGTCTACGTCTCCTAGGAGCAACATAGCATGCTAGAATGCTAAGAGGGTATGCAAGGTCAGGTCGTGTGCAGGTCATCAGGTACATGAGGCAGCCAACAAGCTCTGGGTACGGGCCACTCGACTCTACGGACTCATCCGAAGGCAGAGCTAAGAGCGACTGGCGAGTAGGCAGAGGAGTGGCCTGAGGCGAGGAGTACGTGAAGCCGAAGCGCTGAAGGACCTGCTGCACCATGTGTGACTGAGTCAGGGTAATGGTGCGACGTGCTCTGTCCCGGGTGATCTGCAAGCCAAGGTAGCTGCGCAGCTCACCCAGGTCAGTGCACGTGTGTCTCTTCTGCAGCTCGGACTTCACGTGGGCGAGTCCAGGAGTGTCAGCTGTGGCAAAGACCAAGTCGTCGACGTACACGAGGATGTAGAACGGCGGCAGAGAAGTGTCGGTGCGCAGAAACAGAGACGGGTCGGCAGTAGAGGGAGCAAACCCAAGAGCCGCAAGTGTAGTCCTCAGTGTGTCGTGCCACTCACGCGGTGCCTGGCGGAGACCGTAGACTGGCCGCCGGAGGCTCCACTGGGTGCCAGGAGGAAAAGTCCCAGTGAAGCCAGGTGGGCAGCGCAGCCAGATCTCCTCGTGCAGGCTGCCCTGCAGGAAAGCAGTGCTGAAGTCAAGAGAGTGTAGCTCGTAGTCACGGTGAGCAGCAACGTGCAGCAGTACCCGAAGAGTGGTTATCTTCGGGGTGGGAGAGAAGGTCTGAAAGTAGTCAACTCCCTGCCGCTGACTGAAGCCACGAGCCACGTAACGCGCCTTGAAGACAGGCGGAGAACCCGGCGGCCGCTTCACCCTGAAAATCCACATGCCACTGACGATTTTCGCCCCAGGAGGGGGAACGTCGTCAACGTAGGTGCCTGTGGACTTCGAGGAAGCCATCTCTGCGTCCATAGCTGCCTGCCACTGAGAGGAGTAGGGACCCTCTATCGCCTTCGCGTAAGAGTGCGGAGTCGGGATGTCAAGTGCATCCGGGTTTCCCTCAGGGGTAAGCAGTACGGACACGAGATAAGGTGAAGCAGCGGCCAACCACTGGAACTCCTCCTGCCTGTCCTCAAGGACGTCCGTGCCAAGGGCACACTCACCACCGACGGACGGAGGACAGACAGACTTAGACTCAGCAACAAGACTGGCGGCGTAGTCTAGGCGACAGGAAGCAGCAAAGTCGACGAGCTCAGCAACTAGGGCAGATGCAGTAGTGGACTCAAAGGAAGGGTCAGTGACAACAGTAGCAAGGAGACGCGTGATAGTAGGACTGGCAGCACGAAGAGAGTCCGACTCCGGGTCGGCAAGAGCAGGAAGAGAAGACTCAGAAGGAGAAGGTAAAGGGGCACGCAGAGGAGCACTCGACGGACGCAGAGACATCCGGTGCGTGCCAGGGACAGGAGGAGGACGCTGACGCGAACCGCGACCACTAGTGCGAGCAGCACGGACAGGCGACGCAGGGCGAGACGCAGGCTCACGACGCTCAGCAAGACCTCCAGTAGGACCAGTGTAGGGAGACGGAGCAGGCAGTGGAGAGGCCGGCTGCAACTGTAACCGTGACGGGATAGGCTGTGGACACTCTAAGGGAGGAGGAGGACCAGTAGAAGGCGGGAGACCAAGAACCTGCTGAAGGAGCGGAACGAAGTACGGCCGAGGCCACGCGGCGACTCCAGACACATCAGGGACAGCACCAGTACCCCCAGCGGCAGCACCAGCACCAGCAGCACCTCCGGCTCCAGTACCTCCAGCAGCACCAGTAGCACCCCCAGGAGGACCGCCTCCAGGACCGACAGCAGTAGCCTCCGCGCCAACACCCGCAGCAGCTCCAGCTCCAAAAGTACACGCAGGCCTAGCAGCTTCAGTACTCCAAGTACGAGCACCTCCGGGACCCGCGGCACCAGCACCCTCAGCAGCAGTAGAACCTCCAGCACCCGCAGCACCTCCAGCTCCAGCAGCTCGCCTCCAGCGCAGCTCCTGTGGAGAGAGTGGCTCCCGGCGAGACGAAGCACCCGAAGAACCGCCAGGCACAGCACCGCCAGACGCCACACGAGCAGGCCCAGCTCCCTCAGGCTCCGCACCCCCAGGCTCAGCACCTCCAGGCGTAGCACCCCCAGGCTCAGCACCCCCAGGCTCAACACCCCCAGGCGTAGTACCCACACGCTCAGCACCCCTAGAGTCAGCAACCCCAGGCTCAGCACCCTCAGCAGCACCAGAGTCACCAGCGACCTCGACAGGCTCAACAGCGTCTACCTGGGACACACCTGAAGGGGCAGGACCCTGAGGGGGGAGGGGGTCTACCGGGGGGGGACCTGGCACAAGGAAGAGCATTGGCGGGGGGAGGGACGGAGTGCGGTAGGGGAAGAGACGGTAGTAGGGGACCGACTCATCGAACATGACGTCCTGGGAGGACAGAACACGGCGAGAGGTGGGGTGGTAGAACTGCCACCCTGGCGCGTCAGGGGGGAAACCCAGGAAGACGCAAGGAGCAGCACGAGGGGACAGCTTGTCCGCAGACAAGTCGCGGACAAACGCCCGAGATCCCCAGACACGGAACGCAGACGCATCGCCAACCTTCCCCGTCCACAGCAAAGCTGGGGAGGTCTCCGGCATGGAGACCCTGGGCTGAAGGTTGATCTGATGCGCCGCGTACCGGACCGCAAACGGCCACAGAAAATGGGGGGCAGCCGCATGCATCATGGACGTACGGGCGACGTCCATGACCATGCCAATGCAGCGCACAGCAATCCCATTTTGCTGTGGAGATTCCGGAAGCGTGAAGGTCTGGCGGATGCCTCGTGCACGATAGTAGGCTCGCAGAAGGCCAGAGGAGAACTCTCCGCCTCTGTCAGAGTGCAGACGCAGAACAGGAAAGTTCGAGCCGAAGCTCCGCCTTAGCTGGAGACGAGCTGCGCGGATCCAGTCGATCAACACCTCAGTGACATCACCCTTGCTGCGCAAGGGGAAGACTGTGGTGTAACGCAAGTAGTCGTCAACCACCAGCAGGAAGTAGCGCTCGTGACCCTATCCACGGACGCGGGCCAGGCCCCACACGTCCATGTGAAGCGTCTGCAGCGGAGCCTCTGTCAGAGGAAACTGGGAGGAGTGAAGAGCAGCCCGCTGCCGCCCCTTGACACAGGGGACGCAGGTAGGGCCAGGCCCCGGAGGAAGGGGA